CAGGGGCCTCGGCCTGGAGAAGCCGCTGCCCGGCAGCCGGGGCCCCAGCCCCTTGGAACCCCACTTCCAACTCCAGCTCGACGACTCCCGCGAAGCGGTCTCGCTGCCGCCGGGCTTCTCAGCGGAGCCTCTGGAGCTCCGAGCCGAACCCCGCCCCCGCTTCTCCAGGCCCGGCTGTCCCTCCTGGCGCCACCTCCCCAGGGACCGAGTCAGGGCCGGACAGTCGAACTTCGGACCGGGCCGGGTGTTAACAGCGAATGCTCGCCCTCCAGCCCGGCGGCGCCTGCGCAGGTCACGTGGCGGAAATGTGGCTTCTTGCCAACCGGGACCGTGCCTCAAGCCGGAAGTTGATGTGGCTGCTAAGAGACCGGACGTCGCTCTCCAGTCTCAGCCTCACACTTAGCTGAGCCCACAGAAGCCCGCGGACTACGTGGCGGAAATGTGGCTTCTTGCCAACCGGGACCGTGCCTCAAGCCGGAAGTTGATGTGGTTGCTAAGAGACCGGACGTCGCTCTCCAGTCTCAGCCTCACACTTAGCTGAGCCCACAGAAGCCCGCGGACTGGCGCCCCATGGCGGAGCGAGATGAAGCTGCAGCCTGAGACCAGTCAAATCCTAAGGTAAGATGCTGCTAAACCGTTATGAGGAAATACGGGCCAGGAATTGCAAGGTAGGGCCTCGTGCCCTTTCCCCGGGTCTCCTGAGGTGCGGAGGGAGCCCGAAGGTCTGGTCCTCAGACAGCTTTCTAAAATCCCTGCCCTTGCTCCCGCGAGCTCTGTCGTTCATCTTTCACTCCACAAATATTTGTTCATTGTATCTTTTCACGTGTGTTATCTCAATCCTTAACAACACTCTAAAATCTATGTTATCCCCGTTTTGCAGATAGGAGGATGAAGTCATAGACAATAAGTAACTCCCAAAGTCAGTCAGCGAATCTGCGGCCGTACATAAACAGTGTAACAGTAGCTTGAGAACGAAATTCTGGATCCAAAGCTGCAGCTTCAAGCACACTCCAGCCCCACTTCCTGCAGATGATTCCATCATCGATTCGAGGAATCCCTGAGTAAAGTTATGTCAGCGGAGTAGGAAAGGCCTTACCTTCTTTATCCGATTCCAGCTTTCTGTTTCCTTTTGCTCTTTCACCAAGCCGACCACAGCCTCAAAATGTTATGTACATTTTTAAATCATCTATCTGAAACGTTGCTTTCCCCCTGATTACTCTATCTTGCATCCACTGAGGCTGCCAGACTACAAACGTTAGTCTCATCATTCGTTGCAACTCACCTGTCCAGTCCTATCCATTTGGTCATTAAGTCTTTCCAGTTTACCTCAGAAATGTCTCTTAAATCTGATTCCAGCTCTCCATTCCCACTGTCTTAGTACTTGCTGTCCTCATTTCTTGCTCAGACTATGACAAGACCTTTTTAATTGATTCCCAAAGCTCATACTTGAAAATTTCAGTAGGGACTTCTGGAACATCAAGATGATGATGGATAACAAGACTTTAGAAATTACTGAGGAGAGATTTAGTAGTTTGAAATATATTTTTTATTTAGTTGAAACAATATGTATAGATTGATTACTGACTACAAGATTTGTGCTACAGTAGAAGTAAAAAAATATCAACAGAGGGCTATGGGAACATGTAGAAGGGAGAGACTAATTCCACTTGGGAGAGTTGTGTACTACCCTCCTTTCATCCCCTTTTTCTCCCTGAGGCAGGAAATTCTGACCTACCATAGCTAATGATAGGTCACAGACCCCCACTCCAGAAAGAGTCCTGCCCCGGGGTGGGGGTGGGGGGATGTTACACAGAGAGGACGAGAAGAATATGAACGAACGGGCCTTTCCGGGCCTCCCCACCCAGTCTGTTAGTGTTAGGTCTTATCCTTTTGGTACAGTCACATTTCTGCATGGTTGTCCGTGCTTCAATCATGCCTACACAGTGAAGCTACCATAAAAACCCAAGAGCACAGGGTTTGAATTCCTGGAGGGTGGTGCACCCGGGGAGGGTATGGACACTCCACAGACCTTCTCCTGTACCTCACCCTATGCATCTGTTCATCTGTATTCTTTGTAATATCCTTTATAATAAAATAGTAAACATAAATAAATGTTTCGCTGAGTTCTGTGAGCTGCTCTAGCAAATTAATCTAACTCAAGGAAGGGGTAATGGGAACCCTGATTTACAGAGTTCCAGAGGCCTGAACTTGTGACTGGCATCTGAAGTGGTGGACAGTCTTGGGGGCAGAGCCCTCAACCTGGGGGATCTGATGCTATCTCCAGGTAAATAATGTCAGAATGTGTTTGAATACAGGACACCCAGCTGGTGTCAGCTGCCGAATTAATTGCTTGCTTGCTACTGGAAAGAAATCTCCACACTGGTCACAGAAGTCAGAAGTCAGTCTTCTGTGTTGATTGTTGCTGAATGAGAGAGTAGGAAAAACACTTTGTGGTTTTTTATAGATATTCTAACTCAAGTACACTGGGCCCCTTCTGATTGGTTGCTGTGGACCTCCTACTTTTTGGATAACTGTCCCATTTCAAAGTTCAGTTTGATTTCGTGGCATTTAGCATCAGTGACTCATTCTGGTTTGGTCTGGTCTGTTGGGTCTAGTGCAGGAGCTCAGTTCAAAACAATGGCCTTTCATATATTTCATTTAACATCTCTGTCTCTTGGGCCGGCCCGGTGGCGCACTGCTACAGTGCGCCACTTGGGAGCGCGGCGGCGCTCCTGCCGAGGGTTCGGATCCCACAAACAGACCGGTTCCCGCTCACTGGCTGAGCGAGGTGCGGGTGTGACACTGAGGATATCCCACATACAGACCGGTTCCCGCTCACTGGCTGAGCGAGGTGCAGGTGCGACACTGAGGATTGAGATCCTGTTGCCGGTCCCCGTCCGGTACAGGTGCGACACTGAGGGTTGCGATCCGTTGCCGGACACGAAAAAAGACAAAAAAAGGATACAAATATACACTGTACTTGTAGGGAAAGTGAAGGAAAATGGTCAGGGCCCCTTGGATGTTCAGAATCTTGCCGAGCATTTGGTGTAAATATGCACGCACACCCCGGTGTTCCTTGGCTATTGTCTGATGGAGATGTGTGTGGGCACCCAGGTGTCCTGGGTTATGGTCTTAAGTATAAAGGATGAGTGGCTGTG